CATGTAATAAACTATGATCCTTGACTCTGCTTCAATGCTGCAGGCTGTCCTGCTATGAAAAGGAAAGGATCAGTAAGACTTGGCAAAGAGGTCTTTGCTAGTTTCTAGCACCAAAGACATCCCATTTGATAGGCAGCAGGTTGTCTGGGAATGAAGGAGGTTAACAGTGCCTTTAAAAAACATATCCAAGAAGAAAAAGTCAAGTAAAACAAGGAGATACAGCCTCCAAGTGAAAGACATTGCTTCTAAAGCCCAGAAGGAAAATGAGAGCAAAATTTTAGCTGTAGATAATCTCAACTCATCTAGCCACAAGGGTATGGTCTTGTGGTATTTTGCTTCATCAACTTAGGAGAAAAGCCTAGTAGTTTATAAAATCTTTACAGTGCAGTTTAAAAACAGTCAGTGGATTACTCTGTTGCTGATCTGTTCAGAGATGCCCATGGGATACTGTGGGCTGCTAGCCAAAGTTGAAGCAGCACTATCTTAAGTATCCAAATTTTACTCACGCCATCATTCAAAGCCAAAGAACTGTTAAAAACCAGCTTTTTCACAAGTGCAATGGTTGCTTCATTAACAGCAATGTTCTAGTCCAGAAATGGCTGCAGCAGTAGCTGACAAAGCTATTACACATGCGTAATTTATAATCTCAAAGCACTTATAGACTTGTAAAAAGGTGCTAAAACACAAAATAAATAAATAAATAGACATGCAGTGTTTATGATTCTGTGAGGGGATAATCCCTCTCTCTGGACTACACATATAGAAGCAACACTGAATTCTGCATTTCAGAGGAAAGCAGCCCAACCCAGGCAGGATTTACCACATTAGCTGGGCATGTAGAAGCTGTTTGAACCTCATGGAAATGCTGGAAGGAGAAAGCTGAGAGTATCACAAACATGCAATACCTTTAATGTGCGACTGCAGTGGAGCTCAGCTGCAAGGGCTGTCCGCACACTTTGAGGAACTATGTGGCCAACAGCAAATGAGCATACCCATCTGCTTTCCGCACATGCCTAGTAAAGTTTTACCATCTCATTTGTTAGTCCAGTTACTTGGATTCAGATACTTGCTCTCCGAGTCTGTCCCACTTATTTTACCCCAAACAAGAACTGGTCGTGACTGTGGCTCTTGGTTGCCTTCACAAAGAAAAGTAAAATTGTTCCAGTCTCAGATGACAGTGCAGCAGTGAAGTCCCATGTAGACTTTATGATGGCAAATTTGACAAAGCAGAAAAAAGCCAATAAAATTGTTTCACCTTCCCAGCAGGACTTCTGTCAACACTGTCTGTTCCTCAAAAGTCTATTAAAGATAGCATTAGTTCAAATTTAAATAGAGGAAATTTAGTACAGGACATGTTCTGTGGTCTTGCTGTCTTTGTAAGCTTTCTCACAGCCCAAATCCACTAGGAGCTGGAAGTGCTGCACTGCTTACGTCTGGGAACAAATTCAATGAACAAACATGGTACAAGGCAGGATAGACACTGTGCCGTGAACTGCCTCAGCAGACAGTTACCTGCACTTTCAGGTATGGGGAGAGAAAGTTAACTGTTTACAGCTTAAATGTAAAAAAATTATTTATTTACAAAAGCATCAGGCTACTTGTGAGTTTTCCCATTTAATTTTCCACTGCACAGTAACACCTGAAGCAGTCTTATCCCCAAAGGTTTGTCAAGCACAGATTGTTTGGTCTTCCATGTGCACTCCAGGTCTGATTGTGCCTTGTACACACTGGCGTGAGCTACAAGGCAGCACCACCCAGTCACAGGCTCAGTCCAGGTTTTCCAGTTCTAGTGCCACCTGAATTAATAGTTATCACAGCAGTAGGTATGAAGGCACTTCTTAACAAGTTGTGTTTTTTTTAAGCCCATTTGCATTAACTGTTTGGAATCTATGGGCTGGGAATTTGATTCCTTGACCTGAGCCGAGGATCTTATTATGTAGTTGCACATGGAAGTTCACAGTACAGATTTTACAGCAAACATTAAGGCTGTAACATTTGCCTGGCCAGCAGGAAGCCTTGTGTTGATGAGGAACTAGAGTCTTTGCACACCCAAGTGCTACTAGTTACTGATTCCTTAGAAAGGCCTGGAAGTCCACAGCTGGATCTGGGGCACCATGGACACACAGGCCCTCAAAGTTATTTATTTTTGGGGGTTCCCCCCCAAGCAAGTAGGCAAAACTGTGTAAACAGGCACTGCCCTATTCCCACTCTGCGTACACCTGCAGATCTACACGTTTAAGGTCAATAGTTAGTAGTAGGGAAGGATGAAGGAGCAGCTCAGTGAGGTGAGTGCTGTGTAAGAAGAATGGACCCATGCCTCACTGTGGACTTTCTTTTTACAGCCTTGCTTCTTCTGTGCTATTTCCCTAAACACCAGCATAAGGAGGTGCAGAAAGCCCTGATGCAAATACTAGATAAAATAAGTGTTTCCGTAAACAAGAGCATCCAAGGACCAAGATCAGTATTAAGATCATCCACAGTTGTGACTGGGATGCCCGAGAGCCAGACAACAGAAACGTTTTGCAGCCTGTAACTTGGCATAATGTGTGCCTCCCTCCATAAAGCTCCTTTCCCTGATTGTTCTGTTACAAAAACCATGACTAATTTATTTAAAAAAAATTCCAAACAAAACCCCCAAACAAACAAGCAAAAAAACAAACCCCAACCAAGCTTGGTTTCTCACAGTACAACATCTGTGGCACTAGAAGGCAAATCTTGCATGCCTCTTAGGATCAGGCAAGGCATGAGCCTGGACTATTTCAGTTGTAGCACACAACTACAGCACTGGATCAAACTGTTTGTCAGAATTACTGCTGTGAGTTAGCTGGGACAACTATCAGTCATCACTGCACAGCCTACAAGCTCTCATCTTTAGAGATTGGACAAATAAATGCTTCTGGATTGAAAAAGCATTAATAAAGGCCTACTTCAGCTGCAGAAGTATCTGTGTAGCAAGACTCTAAATGCAGGCAGAAATGTTCTTGCTAGCAGTGCTCTTGGCAGGATCAGAACCTCCCCACAGAAGCAAAGGGAAAGAGGAAAACCTGCCTCCCTGTCCAGAGCTATTTGTTGCTCTTCTAACTCAGTGTCAAAGCCCAGCTTCAATTGCTATTTTTAATTCTTGGTGCAAATAAGAACACCAAGGCAGTCACTGCTGGACAGGCTCCTCCTTCCCTCAGATCTCAGGACATGTATTTTGAGGCTCTAATCACTGGGATAGGTGGCATAAGTAGACAGGACTGCAGGCCTGAAGATTTTGTTTCAGGTAAGAGTGCACAGGGTGGGGAAGATCACATCCCTAGAAGCTCCAAACAGGACAGAAGCCCTGGGATACCATAACAACAAGGCAGCTAAAAATGGCAATGAAAACAAGACGAGAATCAAGAACCAATATGTTAAGATTACTCACCAGGTGGGCATTAGCCATTAGTTATTACAACAGAACAACTAAGGCATGCAAATCTTTCGGCCAACCCACTGGCATCCAGGTTGTGCTTTTCTTTGACTTGCAGAAAGCAGTGGATGAAGATTTAAGGCTCAATCATATTTTTTTTAAAAAGGAGAGCTGCTAATTGGTTTATATTTTACACTGTACATGTGTGTGAATATTCATGTTGGGTGAGAGAAGACAAAAACCACCAGGACTAGCTCAAGTCATAAATTCATCCCACCAGAATGCAGATAAATATGGGGGTTCAACCTTTTTCAGCATTCAAGGCATTTGAGCTGTTGTTTTACCACCAAATCATCTGCTTAAATTAATTTAAAAAAAGGTGACAAGGTAGTGTTTAATATCGTCAAGTCATTTGTGTTAAGGCAGCTGCTTGTTGCATTTGTGTCTTCTTGTTTTGCTTTTCTGACTGCTTACTCCAGTGTTTGGAATAGAAGATCTACAAGAGTATTTCTGTCTCCATTAATACATTGGCTGGCTCCCATCCCAACAGCAAAAGTAGTACCAACAGAGGAGTATAAAAATATAGCAGTTAGAAGAAATACTTTCCAACAAACACACAAGCAGAAAAGATGATGACACACTATAGTCCTTTTCTGACCATCAATGCATCTAAAATATTATAAAACTAGTCATGGAAACATAACTGAAGACTTGGGAGACCTTTAGAGACAAGTTGGAAACAGCAGGGCAGAGAAGTAAGTGAGCACCCCACTTTTAAATTTAACAGCAACAGGCAGTGCTCCCTAACTATCATTTTCTCAACAGCAAACGATGTAAATAAAGAATGTACCTTATCTTACATCCCCATGCAGTACACTCAACTTTTTGTGACCTGGCAAAGCAAAATTGGACAAAATTCAGTTTGAGAATTTGTGTGTAGAACTCCCCTTCAGTTATTAATTGGGCTAAATCTGAATTGCATAAAATATCGAAGTGTCTTTAAAGTAATAATAGAATAAATACTTTACTATCATTGGTACATTCCTTTCTCAATCTAGGTATAAAATAACTTAATATATTTAATACTTAGATAAACAATTTTTAGTAGATGCTTTGGCAGTCAAATTTTATATATTCTCTTATTTCTACAGAAGTTTTTAGATATGGTTTTGGAAAAAAAATTATCTGGATACTACTTACAAGAATTATATGCTGTACAAAACAGCAGTCCAAATCACTGCAAACTGTAAAAGAAACAGTTAATGAAAGAGTATAAAAAGGAATTAATGCATATTTGCTGGAAGATACCAAACACTCCTGGGAAGTAAGAAGATACCATCTGCACCATGAGTATTTCTTTTCTTGTCAATGAAGCCAGAGAAAGATTGCCAGTTATTTGAAGAGTACTTCACTTATTCCAGTTTATGCAACAACTGTGTATTCTACACACCACACATAAGCATTGTAAAGTTTCAAAACAGATTTGTTCCCTTAGGCAATGCTTGTTCATGATAATAAAAAATGGTAAAAAAAGTCTTCAATCATTTGTTTAGTCTGACTAAAAAGGTAATAACTGTTACATTATGATAAGTGGGTAATTGGTGTTTCCTCATTCCAAAAAAAAAAGAGAAAAAAAAACCAAAAAGAGAAAAACTTTAAATGACCTTTAGACTGTTCACACTGAGAACTCTCTGGTTGGGCAACAGAGTGGAGCAATAAGAGTCCATAAGTACAGACAGACACAAACCCAACAGGAGACCATCTTAATCCAGAAGATAGACCAGGTTCCAGTGAAGAATTTTTCAATCTGAGCACTTTCATAACTGTTAAGGGAAAAAAAAATACATAATGACTCAAAAGACTTTAACTAGTTAAACCATGGATGAAGCAAGGGAGAGCAGCCCTTCATAGAGCAAGATCTTGCTCAAGAATTCCCAAGAAAGACTTGTAATGTCTCTTCAAACTTCTACCACAAGGATTGGAAACACCCACACACCCACACAGCAGAACTTCCCCTTCACATCTTCCCTCTCAGCACAGAGAGATGTTAATTTGTTGGCATTAAAGAAACACATTAAAGAAATACACTTACTGGAACCAATGAGTTACTGTCATCATCACATAGAGAGAAGCCAGGAAAAAAACAAAGTGGAAGTAGGCATAACTGTACACTGTGCCCTTCTTCTCATCATAAACCACAGTCTGGCCTCCCCTTTTCTCAACATGCTCTTCAGCATCAGCTGTAAGAGACAGGAACAAGAAAGTTTTGCAAATTTAATGAGAACTGAAAACAGCAGCTGGCTTCACAGAGAACACAGCAAAACATCAACAGTGTGATTTGGGAAAGTGTGACTGACACAGAGTAACACTTGAACATTTTCTCATCCACAGGGCATGGGCCTAAACCCTGAGTGAAAAACTGGACTAAAACTGAAATTCTGCCTTGTAACAGCTTCCTGGTTTACTGAGTAGATTTTGACCATTGAGAGCACTTAAATTGCTCTACCTGTGCAATATTTTTCTGGCAAGTCCAAGCTGATAAACCTGATTGTACCAGGTCTGCAAATAGGACACTCCCTTCCTATCTCACTCCTCAACTGCAGTCCCTGCAGAGCTGCTGAGCCAGAAGTCCAGCAGCCAGTTACATTCACAGGCATGCCAAAAACAGAGATTACTCTTTGTATGTTGCAGGAATGAAAAGTACTTTAAAGAATTATTAACTAGCCTAGTAGTCTGAGTAATTTTGAAATGGTGTTGTGACATCTCTTGCTTCTTTCTCTCTGTAGCCTAACTTGGAGCACTTCATCTGCTTCAGTTTGCATTCAGTACTCTATTGAATGAGGGTACGAGCAGCTCTCCATCCACAGCTGTGTCCTTACTCTCTTTGTGGCTTTGGTCCACAAGCCACAAATATGGTAAATTGTGCAGAGAAAACATAATTACCGTCTCCATCAGGTGCACAGCAAAAGCAGCAACGAGCTACCTGTGGAACAGACAACAGGAAGAGGGTAAGAACCTGTGCTACAGCAAAGCAGAACAGCTGGGGAAGGAAGGTCTGTTATGTCTAAACTACAGACACTAATTTAGAAAAGTCTGGTTTGTATTTCCAACCAGGACAAAACTTAAATTAGGATTTGCTCAGTAGCTCAGAACAGCAATTGCCAAGCAATTCCAAAGAAAAACCTGCTCAGTAAATTTGAAGAAATGAGCCAGTCTTTAAAAATTACTCTACCCATTTTACATAGCTCTAGGTCCAACACAGATTCAAATAATTATGACAAAATGGTGGAACAGCTACAATAAAGCACATTCATATTTAGAGGACTTATCTATTTAGATGTGTATACAAGTGCTTTTTAGGACATTTCTGTACTAAGATGAAAGTATAATGAACTTTTAAAGTTCATTATACATAAGTTGGAAATTACAACTGTACCAGTGTGAAATGTACCTACTTCTCTTTGCAAGATTTTGCTGAAATAGAGCCAGAATTAACACAAGAAGAATTAATAAAAGCAGAAACCTGGTTTTACTATTTTATTTAAATTAAGATCTCCTTTTTTTTTTAACCTGATGGAGAAAGAAAAGCTGAAATTTACACTGTGTTGAATGGTAATGTAAATGGAGAAAAGGCACTGACCATGAAATAAACAAATATAAGAGTATTTCCTGCACCAGACTATGGTAAAAGTCAGCACTTCCTGTAGTGCGTTACAAGTATTATTTGTACTCACAGTATCCTTCTTTGGGATTTCTTTTGCTTGTGGTCTGATTAAGACAATGAACCCTGTTAGGAAAATTCACTTTCCTATTACATTAATCAGTCTTTATACTATGAAAGTGTATTAACCTTGTTTACTTGTATTAGTTCACAGCATACTGTACAATGTAATGAGGCACTGGAATTTTACTGGAGACTTTGGTATTGTTCATGCTTAAGTAAAACAGACTAAAGGACTGCCCAGCCCTGGAAATAAGGACATTGCTTCTTGGAAACTTAGAGCTGTCCATGAAGGATAAAACATGGCACTGGAGAGCCAAGGTAAGACCAGCATCCTAGGGCCTCTAAAACACCTTTGAAACCATAGCAGCATCACAGATAAGTAACTGTCTCAAGACTGACTTAAAGGATGTCTGGATCAACAGATGAGCAGCAAGACTGCTGCAGAAATACAGCTGCTTTGCAAAGTTTTATCAGGATTAGTAATGATGGTGTGGGTGCCAGTGATTAGTCAAATCATGCTGCCCCTGAATGCCTGAAGGGTATTAGTCCCTTGTATAAAACCACATTGAATAAATATTTATGCTTTGCACTTCTAAACTTTAGGTTTTAGTTTACTCCCTGTTGCAGGGACTGGCTGTGTGCTTTCCCAGACAACAGGTCTTTAAAGTAAAATGTCCAGCAGAAACATCAAGTGGGAGGTTCACTGAGAGGTTTGCTCCACATATCCCTGATTACCTGTACTCAGTGGGTTCACAAACTCAGGAAAAGCCAAAAAGTTTATTCTTTCTCAAAAGACTGTCTGAGACTTTATGTAAACTCCTTATTCTCTACCTCTTTCTACTCTTGTTGTGCCAAGTCTCACCTGCAGTGCCAGCCTGCCTTATGCTGGGGCTGTACTCCCATTCTGAAGCAAGCACGGGGGTTCCCTTCAACATTTTAGCCAGTTGTAATGTAGTCCTGGTATAGACTGGAATTAGCAATGCTGGCACACCCACTCTAACCCCTAACACAGCTGCCTCCAGCAGAGTTGACAAACCCTCTCAGGGCTGGAGGCAATCAGAGTGCAGCTGTTTGCTCTTCAGCAGTCCTTTCTTTGTATTTACATTTAGTGGCTCTTCTACACTATTTAAAAGCCAAAAATCCAGAACTAATCCAGTGGGCAAGTACTCTGGCTGACGAGATGGACCTTCCCAGTGAGGGGCCACATCCCAAATCCATGCTGTGCCACAGGTCCCAGCCTTCTCACTGCTACTCAACAGGGCACAGAGCCACACCTCTGGCAGAGCCTCCTACAGCTGGCAGAGGAGGTGCAGGGGCACAAGGGGTGGCTGTTTTCTCTGCAGTGCTCCCTGTCCTGTCCCTCAGCATGGGGTGGGAAGGCAGAGGCCCTGCCAGGACCCGCCTAAGGCAGGCCATGCCAGGCCTGTGCTCCATGCCCAGCAGGCAGTGAGGGCTGGGCTGGCACTGGAGCCCTGTCCAGCCACAGCATCCTGCCACAGGGCAGCGCCCCGGCACCCTGGCACTCCCACACTGGAATGCCTCGTGATTCCCCATGCCCAGCCACTGCAAACACCAAAGGCCTCAGCAGATACCTCTGCGTTTTTGAACTCTCACACTCTGATTAAAGACTTGTGAAATAGAAGCTAAAACTGCAGATGCAAGTAATACCAATGCAGAGAGAGCTAGGGGTGGAGACTTATCTTCCAAACACACACATATATTTGAAGAGCATCACTAGCAAGCCTAAGCAAGGGGAAACTATTACTTAGCAAAACCCCACTGATTTCCCAGAGTTTTCTGAGTGTACCCAGGACAAGGAAGTCAAAGTAACAGGCAGGTCGAACAAAGAAACTTGTAGAGCTGAAACAGGGACAAGAAATACAATCAGAGATTAAATTATAGGCAAAAAGAAAGGAACTACCTATATATGGAAATAAAACTAAGAGATAAGAACTTGGGATCTTAGTTGCTATGAGAACAAAGGCAAACAGGACTGAAAATGTTCAAGAACTCCTCCACTTTTTCTTCTGGTAGCTTTCCAGCACACTTTTCCCTTAAATGAGAGGACATGAGCTCATGTCGAACACAAGATGTACAGGAAGTCTGCAGGATGCTGAATAAACTTCAAGAGTAGAAAATAGTTTCAGTGCATAAAGGCACCTCCACGGGACCAACACGACCTACAGAAAGGCCAATGTGGATAAATGTTCTGATGAGTCTATACCCAGAGGCACATAGCATACATGCAACCAAGAATAGCTTCTCTTTTCAGATTACTGGCCACACAAACAACAGCAATAAAAGCATGGGGAAAAGTCTACACAAAAAGCCTGTGTGAAAAAGCAAGAACTCACTTCAGTTTCAGCTGTTGCATATATTCCTCTCAGTGCCTCTGAGCTTGCACGTGTTGTTGAGGTCAAACTAGGAGGAAAGAAGACAGTGTCAAAGCCCTGGGCATAACTATAGCCCCAACAGGGGAACTCTTCAACATCACAGCAAACATAAATAGTCGACTCCCATGTCTCAGCCAAGCATTTGCCTGGATGCTATCATCAAGCACTAGGTGTGTGAGAAGTTTGTCCTGCACTAGGTAGAAACCAACCTAGCAGATGGCCACTGGCCAGCTCAGACTGAATCATGAGCTTAAAAGTAGGTCACTCCAGAAAGGTGATGAATTCACCATCTGACAGCAGCAAAATCCAAGTGCTCCAGTTTGCAAGCCAGAACAGATCTCCCCTGCTGTGCACAACCAGTGCATTTATACTCAGTTCACAGCCATCACTTTGGCTCAACATTTCTGTAAAGGCTTTGCCAGCAAACTCACAGGTCTCTGGCAGTCTATTTTAGAAGTAAATTACCAGCCACTCTTGTCAGTGTACCAGTTCCTAGAAATTACTTTCTTGCATGACTGCTGTTATCTGTGGGGGAATCCTTTCTAATTTCTTCTGATAGAAAACACTTCCTCCCCTGTCCTGCTCTTTTAGGATGTGAAATGCAAACTTCCTGTTACCCACAGGAAGGCCTTGGTGTACACACTGAGCCTTGGCAAGCAATGCTTCAAAACACCCCCCTTGAAGGTATTCTTACCTCCCCAGCTACATGGTACAGTTCAGTGGCAGGCTACATTAATATTGTCTGTGTGCTAAAACACCTCCCTGATGCACTGTAAGTGCCCTTCTTATGTGAACATGATATCCAAATTTATCTATTTTGTATCAGAACAAAATGGAACAGGTGTATTTGATAAAGAGAAGAATAAGTCTCTTGTTTTCACTTTACAAAAATATGAAGGGGTTTCTGAATGTGAATTTTGAAGTGGACTGATTCAGTAGCAGAACCTGCTCAAAAATCTGCAGCAGACAGGCAGTGCTGTCTCCTGGCAGGCTGCACAGCCAAAATAAATGACACACCACCTTTCAATCACCAGCAACTCCCTGTCCCAGAGCATAACTTAATTTATTGAACTGAGCTGCAATAATATAAGATGAGCATCAAAGGTGAGCAGCACAGGAGTTTTTTAGAGCAGATCAATGGCAAATCCTGATGGCAATACTGTGGTCATCATTTTTTCAAAGGACACCCTAAACCCTCCCAACAGTTTATTTGTTTTAAAGACCTTCAAGGACAGTCATAGCCTCTGTCAGGAGGCTACAAAAATTTCAGATAGATTTTTCAGGTGAATGTAACTGTATAGAGTTTTAGAGTTTAACAATGAGCTTACTTGGGATCACAGACAGGTGGAATTTCTTTCCCTCTGCCTCTAGATAAATTGCCCTATTTGATTTTAATGAAATATATTTGTTTCAAAAGTTGCATTATCTTGTTGAAGATTTTTAGCTAAAACACCTAAAATTCTGAAGCTGAGGAAAATACAAACCTTCCAGCTCAGCTTTATTCCACACTTCTCTGTGACTTTTCATGAGGCATGCTATAAGCCTTCACTTTTTGGACCACAACATTGAATTTACAGAAAGGTAACTGCAAACTCCCAGACTTACCAAGAATATAAAATGCAGCCAAACAGAATCGTAGTACCCAAGCCAGTAACCAGGTTTTCATCTCTGTGCAGGCCTTGACTGAATTCAGGTACACAGATTGTGATATTCCGGTTGTTTTCATCCAGGACTTCACAAACAAACAAAATAAAACTAGTTTGCAGAGCTCATTTCATTCCATTTTAAAGCAGTCTTCAGACTGAAGGCTTTAACTGAATTTTTATTATCTGACAGTAGGTAGATAAACTTCAGCTGTTTCTGTCTAGTTCTTAGAAAGATCACGGAGGAAAAATGGGTAAATCTGGCCTAGCAGACTCTGCGTTTCAGACAAAACAAAAAATGCAGCTTAGTAGGGTACTAAAATTTCCTGTCTGACCACAACAGGCAAACAAGGGAAAAAACAACTGTTTTGTGACCTAAGAAATAGGAAGTTGGAAGTCTGTCAACACTTCACCCAAGGCTACAAAACTATATAAGACCAAGACAGTACAGACCTCAGACCAAAAATCTCTTTGACAGCAAGGGTGCCTTGAGGACAACTATGAAATCCATACACAGTAAAAAAAGGTGGTTGGTAGTTGCCCTGTTCTCAGTCAAATCAATGTTAGGTAAGTTCATGGCAAACCTGAGTAACAGGGCTGGGACCCCACAGTAAGTACCAGCCCCTCACACATTCTCTGGCACATGCCACTGTGAAAGCTGATAAGCAAACCTGGAGTCCTTATCACACAGACAGGCAAAGAAGGAGCACTTCTGAGAGCAGATGACAACTGTGAAAATTCTCAGGCATGGGAAGACAAGGAGGTCTGAGAGTGTGCTTGATGCATACTCTAATAAATGCAATAACCACACTTGCAATATATACAAGAAGAATTAGAGCATTCACTTAACTGCTGAAGACTTTGTCTGTGGCAAGTTATATGAACAACACAAGGCATATGATTTAATTCCACAAATTACTTTCTTCACCTTCTTTTTACACTGTGGACAACTTTTGATGTCTTCTAAATTAGACTTTATATTAATTCAAAACACGGCTAAAGTTCCCTAAGTAAATTTTACACCTAAATACTGTCTGGTTTACTTCCTAACTCTCACATGCATATCTGTACCTACACAAGTATGACAGACTTTTTCCCCCACCTCTCCCCTTTCTTCTTGAGAGGTCTCTGTATAAACTTTTCCTTCCTGTCATTGGACTTATTTTCCTCTAGCTATTGTTGTTTCAGCTATTGAACACTTAAAAGCTGGGCAATAATAAAGAACGAGTGTACTAACTGAAACCAGAAAAATCTTCTCTAAGTGAAAATAATGCTTCCAATGCTAACATAGGAATCTGACATTTATTTGGGTAAAGGAAAGTTTGAATTGAGCTGTAAAGTCTTGCTCTGGTTTTGCTGTGTCAAGAACTTCAAACTCTAGTGAGTTCCATACTCCTGAACTGCAATACTAGTGGCTGAAAGGCAAGTGGAGTTCAAGAGCTCTGCTGAAGAACAGCATCATCTCAACTGCAACATAACTCTGAGACACAACTCCAAGTCCTTTCTTTGAATATTTCCTCTCAAAACTAAACACAAGTGGTACTCAAGTTTTTGCTTCATTAGGAGTCCAGGCCTACCCAGCAGACTAATTCTAGAAGGAAAAAGTGTCATATTAGTATCCACTTTGATGGCCAGCACATGCTAACTGGACCTTGTAAACTTTTGGAGCTGATCACCCAGCTTCTTCCAGAGGAATACAAGAGCCACTTGTTCCAACCCTCTCCTATCATGTGACCTAACACATTATGTGTTTTGTCATATTCAGTATTAAGACAATGGGTACTTGTCACAGGAGGAATAGACTACAAGACTTTGGGAAATTTGTTCACAGGAAATGGTGCAACAGATGCAACTCACCCAAGGTAAGTAAAGTGCCCCTAGACCAAAGCATTCAACATCCAGGGAGAGTGCCAATTGCACAGTCTCTTGGCTGCACAGATTTATTGGTACTGTTTGCAATTTTTTCCGTGAAGACCAAACCCAGCACTTTGATATCCCTGAGTCTGTTAATCCAGGTTTGCTAAATTCTTGCTTTTAATACACAACATGTTTAAAAGCATTTACATTGTGAAAAATGTGTATTTTATGATTGGCTTTTTGCAATTATTAAAACTAATATTATATGTGTTATGTTAGAAAGTTATGCTGTATTAATTTTCTTAAGCTATAACATAATGTTAAAATAGAAACTATGCTATGTAAGATGCTTTTTTTAAAGAGAGGAATGAGATACTCTGACTGAAATAGCGGCCACAGGACACCTAAATCTTTCAGAGAAAAAGAATTTATTGCTTCCTTATCAGAAGGAAACTAACCTCTTCCTGCCTCGTTCAGCCCTGAAGAGTCAGGATTAAGAGGAAGAAGTTGACACTGACCAGACAGAATCCTTTGTTTGAATGGAATTTATGCATCATGTATGACATGTATGAATATGCAACAGATTATTGTTTTTAAGGGTTAATCCTCTGTTAACGTGTGCCCTTTTTCGGGCTTGTGCTGCCCAGAAAAAGATACCCAGACCGTCCATAACTCTTTGCTTTTATTGTCTCATATTGTCCTAATCCTAATTGTCCACATTTTTATTACTCTAATTTTATTACTATTTTTATAACCATTTTATTACTACTAAACTTTTAAAATTTTAAAAGCAAGTAACTGGCATTTTTACATACATAAAGCATTAGATAACTTACTTGTTTCTGGTGGTTTGCTGGATAGTGCTGAGAAAGTGAGGTACATGACATAGCAGCTGATGACTCCTGACTGCAGCAAGCCAGAATGGGGCTGGCCTTTACAAGAGTGAGGAAAATTAGTTATTTTTGTAGACACTTTAGCAAAGTGAAAAAGAAATTGATATCCTTTAAGGAACAGCACACCAGTATCTTTTTTCTTCACTTAAGGCAGTAAGTGTTTGAGGCAGTTTAGATACAGATCCACTGTCCAATAAAGAGAAAAGTCTATCCTTTAGTTCTACAGGCTGTTTTAGGAAAGCATTAGTGATTCCTGTGTAAGTAAAGAATCACCTCTGTGCTTTTGCCAAACACAGCCGCTTTTCAAAAGCTGCCACAATAATTTTATTTGCCTGTAAAATCTCTGTTGCAGTCACTCTACTATTTTCAGGCCCAATGTATGCAAGATACTAAGAGTACACAAAGTATAAAATACTGCTGTTGACTCCACCAGGCCCACACTTTACAAACAATAAATCCCAAGAAGTCGAAAGTAAATAGTAAAACAGTAGTGAGTTTGGGAGCTACCACAGCCAGACCTAGGTAAATTTCACAACACAGTGGCAGCTATCAGCAGGTGGGTGTTCTCTACACTATGTGCCTGATGGCACACCCAGAACGTCTCACACCTCTGTAGTTTCAGCAGTCAGGCTGACAATGAGCGACAGCACTTCACAAGGTAGATAAAAAGTCAAGAGCAGCACCAGCTCTGAACTATCATAAGACTTTGTGCCCAGACATGGCTGATGCCTCCGGGCACAGCAAAGCCCAGGAGGAGAGCAGGCGCGGGGACTCACGGTTCTGGACGCAGGGCGAAATGGCCACCAGGGACACCAGGAGGCACAGGCCGCCGTTCACCCCGATCAGCACCTTGTTGTGCAGGCAGCCCTCCGGGCGCGTGTAGAACAGGGCCATGAGCACCAGGGCTGCCACGGCAATGGAGTACAGCGTGAGAGTCACCAGGGCAAGCAGGCCATTCCACACCTGCTTGTGGTTGGCACCTGCAGTCCTGCGGAGAGAGAGACAAGCATCCTATCTTTTTCTTCCCTTGCCCAGAACATAAAATTCTAACAGCTGAAGAGTTCATATCCTCAAAGACAAAAGACAGTGTTTCCTTTCCCGAAGCACGCGTGCGTCACTACACCAGCACAGATTCTTGCAAGGTTCATACACATGAAACAGAGGGAAACATTCCTTAGCATCAGTGTTTATCGTCTGTACTATCACAATCAGTTCCTTCTGATTATAATTTTAGCCCAGTAATTATAATAATTATAGCCCAGTGCTGACTCCCAGAACTCCCAGGAGTTCTCTGGGATCAGCCCATCCGCATATCTCAGCTCAATACTTCCTCAGCAGCAGCTCCAAGTACTCCAGGCTGGGCTAGCGAGTGGTGCTCTCCACACAATGAAACCAGAGGTTTATTGCTCATGGCATAGCCTCTCTTCTGCTCATTGTTCTACCTTGAAAGTTTTACTACTCTTTCACTCAAAAAGCCTCCTCTCCATTTGAGTCTAACCACTGGACTCCCTCAGCTAAAGAGTGGTCCATCTTGTTTTCCTTTCTTCACCTTCCAAACATCTCTTGCAAAGCCCACCAGGGTTTAAAAGGAGCAACTAAACCAGCTGTTTTGAAAGAATGGGCTGTTTTGTAGATGGAAGGTCTTTTCAGTGGGGTTTTTTTCCTGTGGTTTTGTGGAAACAGGACTTATTTTAAAAGAATATCTAATGTAAAGAGAGCTAAAGTTAATTGCTGGTGCTGGAATTCTTTCATCCACAAAAAACCAGCTACAGTAATTAGCACTAAAAATATCTGTGGTATAAGGAGTTCTCACCTCTTCCTCCCTGAAACAGGAATTTATCAAAGCTGAAGGATTGCTAAAACTCTTTCTTAGTGGGTATTTTAATTAGAACAAGAAAGAGCTGCAAGAGTTTGTAGAGGAGGAAATGTGAGACAGAAAGGGTGGAGGTGGAGGCAGGAGAATACATGTGAGAGGAAAACTTAAATATTTTAATTTGATGAGAGGCGAAGGGCTAGGACAGTAATAGAAAATATACTTGAACCAAAAATGTACAAAGTCAATGCCTAAATATTTTATATCCAGGTTGATAAAGGAATCTTGCCTATTTATATGACAAGAAAGAAGTTGAACACAAATTAGCAGTCTTCATTTGAGAAAGAAAATTGACGTGCATTAAGCTGACATAGACAAAGCAGGATTTATCAGTTCACTTTGCACACGGTTTCACTATTACATTCTGCAACTCCAGTTTTATTCTCTTGCACCACTCCACTTAGCAGATGTATTTTCATATAAAGCATATAATAACTTAAAAGTAAGAAATTTTTGCATCCCGAGACACTACTACTTAATGGAAGCCAAGCAGTTTCAGGTAAGAATAAATCAGCAGAGTAGAAGTGAGCAATGAGGAAACATTTCTGTTGGGGAAGGAGAAGGTAGATGAATCAAATATGAACAGCTCTGATTCAAGTGTCTTCTTTCAAAAATTACATCCACATTCTTTGTTACAAGAAAAATATTGGTCAGGAGTCCAGAATTTTAAGGAAATAACTACTTTCCCAACACATACCAATTTTTATTCCACTTGTGTGCGAACTCAACCAGCAGGATGAGCTGAATGGCAATGAAAAGGAACCCTCCTGTTGCTCCTACATAGCGCCAGGCTGCAAGGCAGAGAGGCAGAAAATAGGTCAAACGCCTTTCCCTTGAGATAAAATGGATTTATTGTCTATGCAGTGAAGCTGTTAATGTGGTTGAATATCTCAAGCTCACAAATATAGGAGGAGATTTCAGATGAAAGGCCAGCTCAGTTAACTCAAGATTAGCTCCCTTATGAATTCAGCTTGCAACCTGCTACATTTTCAGTATAATCATGTCAGGACAGCTACTGGGTTTCCCTAACCTAGAAAATTTTTGTGGAACCTATGAGTTACTATGTTAAGACAGAAAATACCGAAACCTTTATTTGTGACTGACAGAAAGGAGGTGGTGTGAAGGCTTTCCACAGGAATCTAAACCCTGAAATTGAAGGTACTGGAACCCAGTCATTACTAAAACGGGCAATTTCTTCTCCACTAGATTCCAGTACCACAGAAAAACAAAGGTGGGGTTTATCTATTCACAAATGCCGTTCCAAGCCACTCCCAAGGAGCACTTAATATTCACTGACTGGTTTTAGGACAGGTTATTTGGGTACTTAACTGTTGACCTACATATACTGCATTTGGGTAGCTGCTTGGATGTTTTAGACAACATCCAAGATTTCTTACATTCAACATCAGAAGTGTCTGAGGAAATACAGATACCTATTTTACTTTTTAGCTGTATATACAGCTTGTGCTGCTCTGCAGTACACAGCCTACAAATTACTCCAGGTGTGCAACTGATTGCAGTGAAGAAAAGACCAAGGAAGTGCATCAGCAAAATTCAGCCATTTCCTTCCATTGTGCCTTCCTTTTGAAAAAAAGCCTGTGTAAGTTAAGTGGAAGAATGGAACAGTCAGGGCTCATTTCCATTAGCAGTAGATGTAGAGATTTTTTTTTTCTTACTCCATCATAAGCTCATTATTTAAAAGCAAGCAAAAATGTCATTGTCTGGTTTGCTAAACATATTGTATACACTTGACAAGCTTCTTCAAACATACAAAACAAAAAAACAGATTAAGTTATTCTGCAAAAAGGTACATAAAAACAGGCAGGGCACGAAGTGGCATGTGTATTTGGGAAAGGGAGAGTAGGAAAGGTCAGATCACCAATGGAGTGAATAATTAAATAGACTCTCCTGATCTCCCTCTGCCACGGTAAACTGCAGACATTTATGGATCAATCAAAATTAAGATCAGCATAGCCAGGGTGGATTTAACACTACAACCCACAAAAACCTACTGCTCGCACATAATCTTCCTCCTCCATGATTAACAAACTGCTTGGGAAACATGGCAAGAGATTTTATTTTTCAAGAAAAAAAAAAGCAGTTGGGAGAATGACCCTCTCCCTCTAAAAATAACCCAAAACAAAACCAAGCAACCAAAAGACAGTGTTAGTTTCTTGAAAGGGGGGAGAAAATCCCACAAACATATCATACCCAAACCATCTGTAAATTTCAAATTCAGGGGCAGACTAGAGGTCGGTTTAGCAGGAGTTGCAGAATACAGCTTTGGAGTGAAAAGTCATGAGCTAGTTTGGGGAAGAAAGCTTGTTATGCTGTATCTCCAGACTACATTAGACTGCTGTTGAGAATCAGCACAGAAAAATTCTGTTTCTCCTTTTCTGCAAACACGTCAGTTCCTCAAGACGTTTCACCATGACAAGGGTCATTTGCAAAGATGACAGGCAGTCTCACCTGCTCACGAGTACAAGGCATTGTACTGCATCTACATCTAATCCAAACAGAATAGGTCCTAAGGACAAACACATACAGCCATGCCACAACTTCAGAGAGGACATGGAAGAGAGCCTCAAACTGAGCCAGGGCCAAACAGACAGCAAAAGCAAGAAGCTGAATTATACCTGTCAGTGGTTTACTTGTAGTGGTTTTTACTTTAGTTTCCCAGAGTACTGTGCTCTTAGTCTGCCTGCCCACTCTATTCTCTTCCCCATGTTACTCCTCCCTCCTGCCCTTTTAAACATCCTGGCTAGAGCAGATGGGCGTTGAGAACAAGGTAACCAAGCAAGTCTTTGTGGAAGCAGGCACCATACACAACTGCTCCTTTGCTCTACTGATCCCATCCCATTCCCCATCACCTGTTCAGACCCAACAGCTTAAGGGCTTACAAGGACCTGCAAGATGTACTTACTGCAAATGTAGGAGAACAAACTCATCTTGGTATCACCAGGATTTTTGCTCCTAGCCCACAAGATTTCTGTGATAAACTCCCCTCCCAGCTGGCACTTCAGGACTGGGCTAGCACCAGCATGCCTGTGCTGTGCCAGCATTCCTTCCAAAACTGGAAATGCTTCTGATATGGCATCCTCAGCACAGCACATGTACCAGGGCTCAAGAACTCTAATTTTACTTTACTGCATGTACACCCCCAACCTGAAAACTAACAACATCCCAAGTTCTTTTAGGGCACTGCAAGTTTCCAGTGCCCAGCAGGTTACTGTGCCTCCTGGAGCACTGGCACCTCTGCACTGTGCAGCCTGACTGCTGCACTATGCCACAGCTACCCTGCACAAGCCAAACTAATAAGCAGCTCTGTGTTCTTGAGTGAACAACTCCTTCTGCACCATTATAGTTCCATATTTCTTAAAGAATTGGCAAGAATTCCTGAAGAACTGCTGCAGTGGTATCGTTACCTACTACTTTGGCCTGCTCTTGGTCAGAAAAAAAATGCTGTTCCCTGCACATTCGCATGAAGACCATGTAGTTTGCACACACAGTGTTCCCCCCAAACACTGGTTTTGCATCTGGCCTGTAAAGGCTTTACTTGAAGAAACAAGGCAATATTCATGTTGATCAGACTTCTCAGATTTCTAACCAGTCACAAGATAGTAGAGAATGAAGCAGACTAACAAAAATAAGAGGACATACCATTGAGGAAAGTGTCCTGATCAGGAATGAAGAAGGCTCCTGAGCACATTGCTGCCAGAACTATAAGTTTAATAAGCCAGAATCTGTATGAGAGAAAGAAACCATCTGGTTGTAATAGGAATTAGACATGTTCAGCTTTAGTACCTCAAGAAATCTTTATTTAAAGAGTAACGAGGAAAAAAAACCCGTCCTTTGATGACTGATTACCACTTTACTTAGTTTTCACTTGACCACATTATTTCTAAAAATAAGCAAAGTGAAGATTTTTGAGTTTTGGGGGTTTTTTCTGCCTAGTACTACACCTAAGTAGAAAGTTCGTGGCACAAATTTGTGAAGGGATGTTAAAATTAGAGTGGAGATGTTAAAATGTTAGATGTTAAAATTAGGCAATCAAATAAAAAACTCACCCATTATGAATGTATGCTCGGCAACTTTTACTGTTGTTAATTTTGATGGTGAACAAGAAGAATAAAAAGAAGAAACAGGCCATTCCAAAACAGACTTTGTACACTGCAGAGTATCCCACCAACTTCTCACACATCTCACCCGCCTGAATACCCTTGCACATCTGCTTGTAGAAGGGAATCTGAAAAGCAGAACACATTATATATAAACTGTTAGAAAGGACACAAAGCACACATAAGCACGTCTGTGTCTGTGCAGCACTGACTTTTCACTGGCTTCATTTAATACCTTTGACTTTTGATACCCCCTCAGCCTGGATTTCAGGGTTCAGGGGATATAATAAAATCTAAAACATAAGGGACTGAACTCTTCCAGAGCCTTCTCTCAATTCTTTACAGATCCCTTGGAGTACAAGTCCACTTTCCTTCAGCTCTCCTAGTTCATGCCATTACTGCTTATTCCCTCACCCTAGGGATCTTCTCCCTTCTTCCCACGCTGTATAGCAAGAGACTCTGATTGCTTCAGTAATTCAGCTTACATGAGACACACCAGGGGCTTGTGCTGCCCTGGCTGGAAAGGCAGACTGAAACACACCCAAGTGTCACAGGGGCAGCAGCCACCCTCCTCTCCATCACAGCTTCTGACAGGGAGTTGTGCCAGATGACCTGATTTTGTTTTAAATTAACAGAAAGATGGAATATTCCTGCCTCTCTTGACTCATTAAATATTTGCCTTTGAGGCCTTTCCCCGCAAAGGGGAAAACAAACAGCTGCACATTCCGGCTTCAGTTGCACCACATGAATATGATGCTGGGTGCTCAGAGAAACAGGTCTGTGTGGCCAGGACCCGCTGCTGTGAGGCACCTCTGTGTAGACATCGGCTCCTCACAGCCAGAGAACCATTCAGCTGCACAGAAACACAGGAATTTAATTAGAAAACCACTATCCATTTCAAAGAAAAAAGGGCCTCTCTGTGTGCTTACAGCTTTCAGCTAAGGCTGGTAAGACCAGTTGAACAGCATTATTAAACCCTCTGGAGTTGACTGCTGCTATCTGTGCAGGCGACTGGAGGATAGAGAAGCCAACAGCAGGAACAAATCAACAGCTATGGCAAAGGAAACCCCTTTATTCAGCAAGCAGGTCAGTACACAAAGCCATAACAATGAAAGAATAACAAGGTCTGTGTGCTAGCCATCAGAGAGCATTCCCAGCCAGGTAGAAAGTCCTTGAGATTCAGGAAACAAGTGACAAACAAGTAAACTACCAGCTTCCAGCCACGAGGCTCTGAAAGCCTACCTCTTTCAGCAGGGTATGCAACTCCAATCCATGTTCCAGGACTCCAAACCAGTCAGGGGCTCAACAACCCTCCTGGCAGTTTCTCAAAAAGAGGAGCTCACTGCAGCACTTGTGTGGCTGAGCTGAGGGTAGCAAACCCTACAATCTGGAGCTGATTTTTGGTGGGCTAGAATCCACTGAGGAGATGAAAACTGCTGTTTCATCTGCTGTTTCATCACCAACAGCACAGCTCTGTGGTGTTACAATAAGGGACTCAACCTGGTCCACTCCAAGCTGCTCCTTCAGCAGTAACTCAGAGATTAGTAGCCACTGCATAAAGAAGCTGGACATTAAAGTAGCTGTGGCTAACCTGCATCCAAGAGTTTTTGGAAAGCTCCTGAGAAATTGTCTGGAGCATCAGCAACACTTTTCCCAGGTCTTGGAAAGCAATGAAATGTCAGACTGGGAAAGCATGCCAGCATTCAAAATAGGCAAATGGATTGAATGGAATAATTATGAGAACTCTCAAAGCTACAGTGATGCCAGGGCAAGCCAAGGGGCCACAACAATGCCAGGGAAAGCAACTGGGCTATCAATTAATGCTTTCCTGTTCTTTGCTTATAATAACCATCACTCAGGAAAGGCTAGAAAATGGCATAATATTGAACTAAAAATATTTCTGGGAAAATTACTTATTTGTTTGACATCGATGATAGTACTTACCAAGGAGACAGATTTTTACAAGATCTGTTCACTTTACTTACAAGACTTTCAGAACAAAACACAGCAAAACAAAAATATTGCAGGACTTGATTAACTGACTAGCTAATTGGAAACAGATCTATGGGTAGCTATAAACAGGCACCTTCTTTAATTGCATAGGTTTCTACAGAAATCTTGATGGGATTTTTGAACCTATACATTCTTTCCTCCTGTAAGTATTAACTTCATTACAGGTCTGGCTGAGAGAAAATGGATGGATTCACAAGAACAATAGCTCAGTTTGCCCTACATAAGCAACAAAGAGTTTAGCCACCATGTAGTATTCATCACACTAAGCAGTAAAAAGTGATGGCCACGGAAACAGTCCCATGAGACTGAATGGTCTTTTAGGAGATTCATGGTCCTGAAGGAACAAAACAAGAATAAAACCAAACTCTTGGAGACCTTAACAGGTACAACACACAAGCACAGTGCTGGGTACAACAGGACTGGTGTAATAAAAACAGTATGTTTTTGTGAAAGGATGGTCTACTGCTGGGAACGATGTATCAAGGCTTACGTGACTTCATTGATAGACAAAAAAGATTAATGTTTTTTCAATCTATATCTCTGAAACATGTTCAGCTGCTGAGAAGGCTGTCCACCCTATGTGCTTTACCATGCTGGGTACTTTTGATAGCCATTAAGTCACATATTTGTTATTTGCCAAGATACAGTGAAAGTTACTTTTGTACCTTTAAAAGCAGCAGTAGTTAAACTCTTTGGCCTCGGAGCAGAGGACAAAGCATTCTTGTTGCAGAATCTCAGTATCTGCTCCAATAACACGAATGCCTCAGCTGCTGTGCAAGCAATGATGTTATCACAGCAAAGCTGGCCATCTTCCAGCACGCACTGTAGCCCTCAGAGATGATCAACATTGGAGCAGCATCTACAGAAACACGATATCCTGAACTTGCTCTCCTCTCAGTGCAAGCTGCAAGCACTCAGAACCATCGTGGTGCCTGGCCAGCCACAGGTGGGGTCTGTCAGCACCCGAATGTGTGAGTGCAGGAGTGTGGCAAAGCACATCCCAGGGGAACAGGAAGGGAGAAGTGTGTAGAAAGAGCCCTGGAGGACCCTGCTTCCATCTGGATGTCCTCATCCAAGGAGGGAGAACATGGCAGGCAAACTTTGTTAAGGATGCATGAGTGAAAATCTACGTAGGTGCGAAAGCAAGGGCAAAAATCCCCATGTAAAATCACCTGTCTTGTGCAGCTGAGAAATTAAATAAACCAAGAAACAATCAGATCAGAACACACCATCATGAATCTCTGGCTAAATTTTAATCAGAAATATGCAATGGGCATCTGCACTCAGAACCCTTATTTTTGGTCGCATATTTGGTGTTTAACATGCAATAATGCAGCTAAGGGCCAAGATATAAACCTAGCAGGGGAAATAAGCCTGAAAGTATGTTTTGCTGGGACATGTGACCAACTTGTACTGAAATGCTTTCACACAACTAAACTGAGTTTTACTGGTGTTCATTTTCCTGAAAATGTATTTCTTATTTTTCTTTTCATTAATTAAGTAGGACATGGATGTTTTCAGACTGAAACCACTAGTTTTGAAAGAGCTTTAACATTAAAAATTTAAATTAAAAAAATCTAAACATTGTTTACATTGTTTTGAGAGACCAAAACATTTTTTTCCCTTTTCTTCTCTAAATTATCCTTTCCAAGCCTGTAAAATGCAATTTTTTGCTTCAACAGAACACATGTGAGTAAAGCTGCATCTGTTTTTTTAAAAAACAGCATAACTGGAAAAAAGAAAAAATATATGGATCAAGGTATACAAGTACAATATGCAGTGTAACTTCATATTGGTCCTTTTTGTACTTCTGTCCCTATCACTGGGCTCACATGTCTTGATTGATGAATACCAAGTCTTTTGCCTTGATATGCAACATTGCTCTTGCAAAATATATTTTACATTTTACTATCTGAAATTTTTCTGCAAATAACCATCAACTTCTTCCCTGTTCCTCCACTGCCTCTTGCTTCTTTCCCCAGAGGTCTACTACTGTATACTTGGGAACTTACAGCAAAACAACCAAAGAGAAAAAAACACCTCTCACTGACAAACGAGAGATTCCTTCCATGTAAGATCAGCATGAGTATTTGAACTGGTAAAGGAGACACATGTTCCTAGCCAAGATTACAGCTCCAAAAAGGACTGCACTACAATTTGAAATTTGACATTCTTTACCTAAATACAATTAAAAAAAAAATCTTGATTAAAATTAATCAAAATCTGTTTTCTCTCCAAAAAAAAAAAAAAAAAAAAGGAGAGGGTGAGGTCCCAAAAGTATCATGCAAAGCATTTGCTTACAGTCTGGCTTCAGGAGCTGGGAGTGTTCCATGACCCGGCCAAAAGCAAAGGAATCAGTAAGTGCACAGCACTTCCAAAACACAGCTCATCACTGAGAAGCTGAGACTGGTTAGTATGAGTAAGTATTTTCAAGGTGCACTCTATCAAAACTGTGCTGAATTAGCTTCAGGGTTCTTTGAACTCTTAACAGCCCTGAACATAATTATTAAATTAGAAAGCACATAAAGAAAGCCTACTTTCAGATGGTCCATTTCCCATTCAAAGACATCAAATGCTCTAAACTAAGACAGTGATTATCCTTCCACTTCAAACTAACAGCTACTCTTTGTGCCATTTCTTCCCACACTGAGCTTTCAGGACTATAAACTGGAAAAGAAATTTGGCAATACTGAAAAGCGTGTTGTTGAAGACTTCTTGAATCACTTCTCTGTTGGATAAAGAGTATTTTTTGTTAGGGATACAAGCTGCATTAAAACCACACTACTGATGGAAAAGAACTTTATGAAATTTGGATATAAGCACATAATTTGTCTCCCACACACTTAAGTTCCTTGGGTTATTCACTTTATTGCCAAGCTAAGCATCTAGTAAGTCAAAGCAATTCCTGGCAAGCAATTTCAGCACGCACATGTTGAACAGTTTTTAAGTCACAGCTTACAGGCAAGCATCACGTCTGTCCCGGGTGCTCCTACAGGGTGGTCATCAGCTTCTGGTGGCCTGGGGTAAAATGGGGCACTAGGATAACTCATGCAAAGTGCTATTAAATGAAAGAAAATTAGGACAGAACATACAGAGAAGGTACAATCAGAAGACAGAAAGGTCACAGGCAGCAGAGCAGAGAAGCCCCCAGTTAGCCTGCTATAAACCCACTGGTTCATCTGTGTTGCAGGAAGGGGGTGCTGCCACCAGCTCCTTCATCTGGGATGCTCTGGTTGTTTCAGAGACAACCAGAAGTCAAGTGCAGAACGTAACCAGGGCATCAGCTTGTTCAGCAACTGGTTCAATGAGGAAAGAGGTCTTGCTGTGCAACCTCACTCTCTTAGGAAAGGGGCACCAAACAACAAGATGCTCCCACTGATGGAAGCCTTCTGAGCCTCCAGGACAAGCACATACACAACCGCCAGAGCAGGCCCAATGATGCATTTGATGCATCTTCATTTTTAAGAATTAAGCAATGCAGCCCTTGTTCCTTCTAGTCAAAAGCAGAGTTTTATTATTGTAGTTGGTAGTGGTGAGAGAAAGGATTTGTGCTACTTGGGTGGCTTATGAAGCCAAACCAAATATGTGGTACAACAGGACCAGTGTTTGAGACAAGCTGGCTGGTGAGCATTTAGCTTAGGAAAGTTATATTAAGACTCTGAAAGAAACTTGAGTTTTAAAGTCTAGCTTCAGCCACAGCTCCTTTCATGCTTTTGAAGCTCTCTAATTAAAAAGACAATTAGAGATGAACAATATTTGCTGTGGTTAGAGGCCATGTGAACACAATGACTCAACACACACTGAAGAAAGCCCCTTGTAGAGGCTCTGCAGTATTGTGCTGTGCAGTAGTCTGTCACATCAGGAAGGCAGAATTAAAATTGCAACACTTGAAGAATTATTTTCTAATTTGCTGCTTCTGCTGCTAAACAAGTTGCCAGAGACAAAAATCAAGGTTAGACTGAACTGCTTTTTCTATTAAAACAAGTTCCCCAATACTATTCCCTCCTGTGACAGTGCCTGCACAGCAAACCTGGGGTGGGTTGACTGCAGCAGATTTCTGCACCTGAGAGGAAGGATGCTAGGCCTTGGCTCTTCTTGATGTGAAACATGCTCAGTGGGTGAGAGGAAGATGTGAGCATGGAAAAATCAAGAGATTGAGCATGGAAAATCATCCCATCGGTGTTCTGAAGTGGATGGGTGGAGGAAATTGACCACCTCTTCTGAGGGAGCACCCCTGTACACAAAAAGCTGTGGAAGGAGTCCCGTTTTCTTCCAGGGGCAGCAGTCACCCCATCCCTGCTACTTACATGAGTTTTCATTTCGTTGGCTACTGTTGTGGACATCATGACACAGCAGATGATGGTCACCAGGATGAAGTAAAGCGCGTACATGAAGCGGGTGCTGGTTGACTGCTTTATCTTGGGGCAGCATTTGCAGCACAAGGAACAAGCAGCAGTACCACAGCAGCAGGCCAGCTGAAAAGTAAGGCAAAAAACACAAGTCAAAAATCCACCCAAACCCTCCATCTTAAGGTTTCTATTGCAAAAGTTAGACAGCTGGGAGACTTCCTGCAAAACTCCAGAATTTCTCAAGTCCTCTCCTCCCAGCTGAGCAGCATTTAAGTGGAAGCAGCCTGTCTTGATTATCAAAACTCACTAGTTTGAAGCATATCAGTGTCCAGCTTTCCCTGATTTGCTAAGGATGAGAGACAGATTTCCCTGTGTATTTTAGTTTTCTACCAGCAACTGAGGGTCCACCAAGATAAAATCCATGAAATATAGCAAAACCCATGTAATTATTTTATTCAACAAGGATAAAGGTACTGAATAAATCCTGAAAAGGATCTAGATTGAGGTTCATTATTTTCTTGCTGTCAGCAGTATCATTGACTTTCAAAGAACCTGGATTCACCTTCCCTGCCTTCTACTTTTAGAAAAGCCATATATAAAACACAAAGGTGAGCCTTACTTATATACATAAGGCAGCACTGTCCATGGCTAGGCCCTTCCTTGCAACAGGCAGCAGCTCCATATGGTTCCTGTGTGTGCTTAACCCACCAACCATGACCACAGGAGGGATTTTTGGACATCAGCAGGCAGCCAGGAGCAGGGAGCCGCCCTCCCAGGTCTCATTGCTGCCAACCCAGAGTAACCTCACCCTGCTACACTACCATTTTCCAGGCACTCCCTGAGGCTAGGTATGGTGAACTGCCAGAGCATGGCGCTCCAGCACACCAAGGCTGCTTCTTACTGGTGCTTCCTCGTTTTTGGAGGGCCCACGGGAACATTCAGAGAACCTTCTACTTTCTGCAAGCAGTTGTACAAGGTGGATGCTTGCCAAAGACTGAAAATCCACAAGGTGCCACATTTGAGTAGTCCAGGCAAACTTCATTGGTTGTATGTGTCTTCAGGCACCCAAGCATCATGCACTGTTTTCCTCCCAGGACACTTCCTCTTCCAGCATCAAGGACTTGTCTGATAAAGTGGTGGGGGTTTCATGTGTATTGGCAGACAACTATATCTAACTCCACAGAATATCACAACCAGATTGGTTGTTCAAAGAGCCTCAAATCATTCTGAAGAAGTCTCTTGAAAAGACTCCCAGTTTATCACTTCCTTGCTATGACTATCTCTGCAACATTCAAGGTCATACTACCTGCCTCCAGCCCCCTGGAAGGGGGTGGCAGACAGGCCCTTCCCTTTCTCAAGAGCAGCTCTTGAGCTGCAGAAGACATAAAATGGGGACAGTCCAACCCAGCCCCCATGCTGCTCTTTTCTCACTTCACCACTGGATCTCACGCCAGAGAAGATGGGGCCTCAAAGCATGCAGCTGCTAAAACTGCTGCTACTGCAGAACAGAAATCCTGCCCAAAACACAGGGCTCCAGATATGGGGAATAAATAGAATGGGCTCATGTTGGCACCTAAGCTGGAAATTAAAAATACTATGTGCAAAAGCACATCATGCAAGCATGCTTTCAAAATAGAAGGCTCTAATGGCTGAATGGCAATTCTATTTTTTATAGGTAGTGAAATTACATTGCCTTTTAGAGCATCAACACAGGTCCAGGATATAAGGAATTTAAGTCCAGGATATAGGGAAGCTACAGCAAGTTACTGACTCAGCAAACAAATGCGGTAACATTTCAAAACAAATGCATACCAGAAATGTGTAATTTACCCACTTCAGAATTTTAACAGCAACAACAAAAAAGTAGTTGTTTTTTTTTTTTAAAAGGACCTTTTAACATGAAAGGATTTGGTATCAGCCCAATCCAAAGTATCCACAAGGAACTTGAACTGCTTGCCTTAGCATAACAACTACAGTATGGAAGTAAAAAGGTATGCAGCTTAGGCATTTGTAAGGAGAAAAACATTTTCCTACACCAGGTGCTAGAGAGCTCTGCCAGTAAAACCTCATCTACATCCAGCAATGTCTGCTATTCTACTCCTGGGTCACTGCAGCTGCTACTTAAAGCAACAAATGCTTAAACAGAATATGTAAGTCATTTATGTACTTTTCCACATTACTTAGACCTTAATGATAGTTTCTAATACTGAGCACGTACCCTAAAAATAGGAAATATTTGTGAAAAATAGCATGATTTCCATCTTGTTCCACATGCACCTCTTCAAGCACTCTGAAAAGCCATGGAAACCATAGAAAGTTGGTTAGACTATTCAGCCACAGCCTCAAATTTGGTGGTTTGGGGTTTTTTTGTGAGGGTTTTTATTTTTTTTTTTCTTTTTTAAACTGTACCTCTAACATTCCAGAGTAGGCCACAATGAAATAGGTGTTATCCAAAAATAAATGAGAACAGTCTCTGTTCTAAAGATTAAGATGCTGACCACAACCTACTGACCCAAGAGGTTTCAAAGATATTATCTTTGAGTGACAAGACTTCAAAGCCCACATATACAAAGAGTTCTCTGTTAAAGTTTTGGTCAATTTGGAGCTAAGCTGCACAGACACACTGATGCCACATCCTTTACTGCAGGCATGGCCCATCTCACTTCTCCTTTGCCTTTTGACTGCAGCAATGGTCTGCACAAGGGCTCAAAACTCACTGCAAGCCAGCAACAAATTTTTGTCACGTTATAAAAAACAGACTGGGAAAAAAAGAAAGTAATGTCAAAAATCTTTTACAGATTACACTTATAAATAAAAGCTGCTCCAAAGAATGGGGCTCTGCAGGAGGAAGATGCTGTGCAGTTTTTAGGATCGAGACAACCCAACAATGATGGTCTGTGAACACTACCAGCAGGCAGGCCTTGTATGCACAAGTCTGTATGTATGTACTCCCTCAGAGTCTCACGAGCACCCCAAGCCCAGGTTCTCCAAAAGCCCAGCACAGCAGCACCTGAAGGCCAGGCTGCTCCACCAGGAGTTTGTTATCCTGATTTCAAGTCCCTCTCTATCCAAAGGCTCCCACAAGTTAGGCAGCAAGCACAGCCAGCCTGGCTCATCTCTCTCCAGCTTTACATCTCCTCACCAGGGTGAACACCGCAGTCTGACAATAATTACAAACAGTGGGCAAATATTTACGCTTTCCACAAACACTTAACCATCAGCCAGCTCGCTCACACTAACCCACCAGGACACAACAGCGTGGACTAGCTGCCTGCTTTGCTCCATGCTACTCATTCAGAACTCAGAGGGTACAGTGCCAACTTGCCTGAGACCCCAGAATCTGAAAGCCTAACATACTTGAAAACAGATTTGAACTGCCTGGATGATGGCTGACTTGACTGGTTTCACAACATCAGCTGTGGAAAGCTGTGTGGGGAATATTTCTGTTAAAATATATTCAAACAGTTTCACAGCCTTTTCTTCTGGTAGCCAGGCTGGCTTAACAACCCCAGGCTCAACCAGCCGTTGTCCCAGTGACACCAGAGCTGTGGGTATGATCCCCACATAGGCCATTCATGTAGGAGCTAGACACAATCCTGGTGGGTCCCTTCCAGCTGAGACTGATGTGTGACTCCTCTGCCAGCCGCTCGCCCACTCTTACCCCTGCTCCAGCACTCATGAGCCCTGACAGTTCTTTCTTCTGCTGCGGGTGACCAAATCAAGCAACCTAGTGGCAAGTTGTGAAAGTCACATATCAACCCTTCTGAGCTGCTGATTTACTACACATCAGCAGCAACAGTTCTACCACTTCACGTGAGGGCACAGTGCACAGGCGGAGGGGAAAGCAGAGGTGAATGCTTTGCAGCTGTCCTACACACCTTCTTCCTTCTCTGAGCAGATGTTTCCAGGGCGCTTTCCTACAGCACTCATTCAATCTGAGTGCTGTAGGTGCCTGCCAATGCAAGGAACAGTAATTTTGACATTCACCCAGTAAAGAGCAGAAGTAAGCAGACACGTAAGAACCCCAGCTCGTGCAAACCACTTTCCAAGTACCGGCAGGCACAGACACATTGAACAGCCCCATCTTACAACAGCCTGGGGAGCACCTATGGTTAACAAGAGTTAGACAGGTTAATAAAACAGGGTAAAAGCAGGCTTACCACCTTGCGAGCCAGCTATCGGTTCCCTACAATAAGTACTCTGCCAACACACACTTAACATCTGCCACACACTCAAGTCTTGATTTTTGCAAGTTGTGATGCGATCTGATAAATCAGTGGAATGGGCTATGAGAGTAATGTTAAGCACATGTAACTGTTTACATACAAGACTGAAAATAAGAGAACCTATCTTGCCTGCTGCTTTTATAGAGACAGTGAGATTTTAAGAACGTATTTTCCACATACGTTTCCAAAAATATTTCAAAGGCTTTAGAAAATACTTTGTGTAGTTATTAAAGTGAAGAGTTTCAGGATCACTGCCCAAAATAGCCTATGGTATTTCAAAATTATACAAACCATAGGCAAGTATCAAGCTTATCACAACAAAGAATTTCCTTTTGGGAGACTTCAGCAGAAATGGTAAAAATCAAAGGGGATAAGACCACAATGGGAAAAAAAACTGCATTCTTTAATGAAATGAAGACTTAGCAGCTTTTCATTTCTTCCTCCCTAACTGACAGCCTGGCGAGAGCAACAGGGGAGACAGGGGAGAATGCATGCCCTCCAGCCTGTCCACAGAGCACAGGAATGTGCCTTGCCGAAGCTTCTTTTCATGGGAGCCTACAGCAGCTTAGTTTTTCATGCATTGCTTGGTTACTTGACTACCAGCATTATCTGGGCCATAAGATTTGCAGATAATGCAGTCACCAAGCTGTTAACAGCAGTGTCTATCGAAAACACCCAAACATCTACTCTCTCAGCTGCAGGCAACATCCAAGCAGGCTGGACAGGCAAAGCAGCCAGCCCTGCATGAAAAAGATCCTGAAGTGACCACACATCCACCTTTGCCTGGACTCTTGGTTTCAGGAAAGAGCATCTACACGCAAATATTTCATTAGTGCACTGGCTCATGAAAACAAGAGGTCTGATGCCAGGTGTCCTGAGTGTTAGGAGCTGGTCTCAGAC